TTGGTCACTCTAGCAAATGTCTATGCCCCTAATGTAGGACAGATAGGATTCTTTGAGGGATGCCTTGCCAAATTAGCGGAGTTCGCAGAGGGGTTAACCATCTTTGGAGGCGATTTTAATCTTGTTTTGGAACCTCAGCTGGACTCCTCTAGGAGAGCCTCTCATATGACCCATGCCCAACGTAGACGGATCAAACAGGCCTTTCTACCTCTTCAGCATATGGATGATTGGCGCCTGCGATTTCCCCAGGGCAGAGACTACACGTACTATTCCTCGGTACATCAGTCATACTCCAGACTTGACTATTTCTTGCTCCCCCAGACAGCTCTTTCTCGGGTGGTAGACACTTCAATTGGAATCATTTCAATATCTGACCATGCTCCGATCCATCTTTCCATGGACCTAGATGCCCGCCCTCCTAAATCCTCACTTTGGAGGCTGAACAAGTCCCTACTGCAGGACAGTGCCATCTCTTCGGACGCCTACTGAGAATTGGATCAATTCTTTTCCATTAATGCTACCCCGGGCCAAAATCCCCTAACTCTATCGGAGTCCCATAAGTGTTACATTAGAGGGATTCTCATTAAGCATGGTGCTTTCCGGAAAAGGGCTCGCTTATCTAGAATACACACACTTATGGAGCAGATAAAATTGCTATATATGGGGATTCCTGGGCCAAACTGATGACTCTGAAGATGGAATTAAACTCCCTTTTGATGGATAGAGTTAAAGCACAGATGACAAAATGCAGGAGGTCGTTTTATGAATTTAGGAATAAGCCCAGTAAAAAGCTAGCTAATGACAAACTAGAACAAGATCGAATGTTTCACAGATTCTCTCCCGAGCGGGTCATCCACTCTCTACTTCTCTGGAAATCGCCCAACGATTTAGGGATTATTATACCTCTTTATATAACCTTTCTGGGCCCATCAAGGGGAATACCCTGACCATTCGAACTTCTGCGATCCGACAATACCTATCCTCCTCTGGCCTCGGTGCTCCCCAAGGAGGGGAAGGACCCTCGCAATTGTACAAGTTACCGTCCCATATACCTATATCTCTTTTGAATGTAGACCTAAAAATTTTTGCCGATGGGCTGCAGAAGGTGCTGCCGGATTTGGCGAGTCTTGAACAAGGGGGTTTTGTCCAAGCTAGGGAGGCAAGAGACAATATGGTAAGGACCTTGCAAGTGATCCAATTTGTCCGCTCGAGGGGTATCCAGTCTCTCCTTTTATCTACAGATGCTGAGAAAGCGTTTGACAGGGTTGACTGGATGTTCCTCCACAAGACATTGCAACATGTTGGATTGGGTGAAATTATGCAGAGTTGGATTGGAGCCCTATATTCCTCCCCTACAGCCAGAATTCGGGTCAATTAAGTTATCTCAGAATCCTTTCCCATAGGAAATGGCACTCGCCAAGGGTGTCCTTTATCGCCCTTATTATTCATTCTGACCTTGGAACCATTTCTGCGCACAATCCACAACTCTGCAGATGTGTCGGGAGTACTGGATTCCACAAAATAGCGACTTATGCAGATGACCTGCTCTTTTAACCCCTTCATGACAGCTTGTTTTTAGTTTCTGTTTGTAAATGACTGACACACTTTTGACATTTTTGCTGTGTGATTCTTCCACGTCAGTAATATACTTTCTTACAAAGTGCACCCACACATATTATATATTGTTTACATATTTATATCACATATGTGTGTCTAACGCCTCACTTAAGACAAATAAAATATAAAAAAAAGAGGAAAAAAACACGTTTTTCCCAGTTTTGATTTGTAGTATTTTTTTTACAAAACCAGCACAGCTAAAAAAAAAATGCAATAAATACATTCATTTATTTGTCCCATATTTTTTATTTTTTTACACTTATTTTTTTTTTTTAGACTTTTCACTATTTTTTTTTTTTTTACACTTTTCACTTTTTTTGAAACTTAAAAATGTTATTTTATTTATTGAATTATATCAAGCAGTCATTGTGAATTAATCTCAATATTACTGCTTGATAATTATAATAATTAATACATTTTTGGTTATTATCAGGCTGCTTCAAACTTCAGAACAGCCGATAATAAGTTAGTGACACTGATCCTGCAGCAGTTCAGGATTCAGCTGCCACTAAAGGTTTTCTGATTGTTGCAACAATGATAAGAAAACTGAAACATTCTTCTTTCAAGAATAGATACATTATGTGTCTATTCCTGAAAGTGAAAAAAAAAAAAAAAGCCAGTATACGATCCGAGAGAGATATCTCTAGATCTATACGAGCTGTCAGAATGCCGGCATGTGTGTCTGCTCTGCTTTGACTCTCAGACACCCGATATTAAGGTATCGGGTGTCTGAAAAAGGTTAACCCTTTCATTAATGAATGCCTCTAAAGTTAGGCATCCATTAATGAATGGTAAAAGCTGATTGTCAGCGGTTACCAGCCCTCTAAAGCAGCAAATAACTCGTCACGTACAGTGTACGTGACGAATCATTTGGCCCCTTTGTGGCTGGACGTACAGTGTATGTCTCCCGTCACGAAGGGGTTAAATTACGAATCCAGAGGGGTGAGCCCCAATTTCCTGGCAGAGATTTCACGCTTTGGCCACCTTTCTAATTTCAAAATAAATTTTTCTAAATCGGCTGCTTTAAACATCTCATAGCCTAATAGTCGTATCCAGACTCTTAGGCCGCAATTTCCATTTCAATGGGCGGACTCTCACATCCGATACCTGGGCACTTCCTTTCCTGCAGACCTAGATAGGATATTCAGCCTCAATTTTTCACCGCTCCTGAAGTCCATTTCGAACAACTTAAAAGAATGCGACAGATCGGCCTTCACATGGTTTGGCCGTAATAGTATCCTAAAAATGAACGTTGTACCTAGACTACTATACCTAATTCAAACACTTCCAGTGGATATACCAATATCCTTTTTAAAACGGACCCGTCCATCTTTAGCTCCTTTCTATGGGCACGGAGTAGAGCTAGGGTCAGATTGAGCTTCCTCATTAGACCGAAACGAGAGGGGGGCATAGGATTCCCTGATCCTCTCTTGCACCACAATGCTGCACATCTTTCACGTTTCATGGACTGGTGTTGCCACCCCAAGACTAAACTATGGGTCCGTTTAGAGCAAACACTCTGTGAATACCCATTGCAGTGGATCCCTTGGCTTTATCCCTCACAGCCACTCTCTACTTGGGCTAACCCTACGACCAGAGCGACCATGAAGACTATTGCCCCGCTCATTCGCTCATCCCATATTTCGTCGGTGCCGTCACCCCTTACGACGGTATTGGGTAATCCGGCCTTTCCACCGCGACTCCGGGGCTCCAGATTTCAGAACCTGCTCTCTGAAAATTTCTCAAGACTGAAGCATTTTTTTACAGAGGGTAGAAGGATGACGCTAAACGGAAATCTCGCAATTAGTAACACCTCCTTTGGATACATGGAGTTCAATGCAATTATCCCATTTATCTGCGCTCCATTAAGAATCTATCTCACCTTTCTAGATCACTCACCCAGTTCGAAGAAGCCTGCCTCAATGCGGAACCGCTCCGCCACGCACTGCGAACCATGGTATCACTGCTCAATGACTGGTCGGATCGTCCACCACCCAGATTCCTCCAGCTTTGGGAATCCGACTGGGCAATACAATTCATGCCCGCTCAGAGGCACAGAATTCTGCTCTTTGCCCATAAATCGTCGATCTCGAGCAGGATACAGGAATCTGGATATAAACTGCTGACCAGATGGTACAAAGTACAGACTATGCTACACAAGATGTACCCATCCACTTCTCCTCTTTGCTGGAGATGTCTACGGGCGGCGGGTTCCCTGTTTTTCCCACATATTCTGGGAGTGTACGGTGCTACAGCCTTTCTGGCTGGGGATCCGAAATGTCATGGCAACTGTCACCGACGCCACAATGGAACTGACTCCCACCCTCTTCCTCTTGCACCTGTCTGACTCCTCCATAAGATCGTATAAGTCCTCCCTCCTGATACACCTAATCAACGCTGCCTGGGCTTGCATCCCTCTCAAATGGAAATCTAGAGATCCTCCCGCAGTGTCCTTGTGGGTTACTAAAGTGAATGAAATTATGCTCATGGAAGAACTGACAGCTTCACTTTATGACAGATTTGAGAAATTCAGGATCACCTGGCTCCCATGGATAGCCTTCACTGAATCCTCTTCTTTTCAGTCTTGGTCAGGGACCTGACCTGCTTCCTTTGTTGGCCCTAGGTTCACATATCTTCCAATTCCTGATTATATTGGCGGCCCTCTCCCCTGGACAAAACTGGTTTCTCCCCTCTATATTTGTGCTCTCAATAATATATTTTTTTCTTTTTCTTTTCCCTTCTCTACCCTCTCCCTGTCTGAAACTGTCTACAGCTCTCTACTTTCTTTCCCTCATCCACTTTCCCTTTACCTAAATGGAGCAGTACTAACCCCCCCTATCATCTTCTTTTCTGACCGCCTACCCATAGGACCTACTTTCTTTACGGTCCACCTTTGTTTGTTTTTGTTTTTTTTGGCATAAATAGGTAAAATCAGAGAGGTGGCATAGAGATACTTTCTACCACTAGTTGGGTTAAATGGGAATGGCTTTCTCAACAAGGTTGCTTTTGTAGGGCATAGGGAAGTATGCTAAATATCTCTGTCAATACTTCTACGGTTATGCTGCCCATGGTCATTTATGGGTTGAGTTATGCCAATGTTACAATTTCATGTACCAGTGTATGTTACTATTCACCTGTCTTTTTTCATAAATAAAGAATTATATAAAAAAAAACCTACTTGCAAATTTAATCAAACTATTGTTTTTTTCATTGAAGACTATGAAACAGAGTTGTGTTTCCTATTATACCCGGCCTTTGCCTATTTTATTGCTTTATACTACACACAACTGATCCAAAAAGCTAGTGAATAATGAAAAAAAACACAAAAAGATATTTTATACAATAATCCAGTTAGAGCCCTATAGAACATAGTGGTTCCTTACCTGTTCAATAACAGTTTTCAACCACCACTGAGGACCCATCAGAGTAATAGCAGCAATAATCTTGGCATGTAAAACTCCAAGAGCCCAGTCCTGCAAAAACATATTCACATATCATCATGTGCAATAAGTTAAAAATGTAAAGAACATAAAAAAACATCCTCTAACAACTTTGGCTAGCTAGGAAAAAAAAACTAAAAGCAAGCATAGTGCAGTGATTTTCCAGTTTATACATATTGGAACTACCAGCCTGAAAACTATGAAATGCATGCTTTTAATTTACTTCTGGGAGGGTCCGCAACTGTTATCCTTAGTGTCAAACATTGTAATTAATTACATACAAAAGCGTGCGGACATGTTTAGAATTTATACTACATCTGACTTTTAAGACAATTTGAAACCAAAAGAACAATTTCTAGTGAAACAATGTCTACTTATCTGAGACCAAACCCTTTCATTACCAGCCTAGATGCCTGAACCAGATTCAGCAGGTTCAGTATGCTTTAAAGAGATTGACAATACATTTATGTCCAGTTATGGTAATTTTAACATACAGTGGATAAAAAAAGGCTACACACCCCTGTTAAAATGCCATGTATTTGAGATGTCTGATTTTCCACATTTAATGTGATCTATAACACTGGTCAACAAGGAGAAAGCATCGGAAAGGAAAGTAGCTAAAATTTACCAGAATTGGGTCACTAATAAAGAGGGATGCACCGATACGGGAATTTCGGTATCGAGTATGAGTTCTAAAATATTTTTTTCGGTACTCGCCGATACCAAATACTGATACCGGAAGTCCTATTAAGGAAGCCAGGCGGCTGTAATAACTTGCCACCTGGCTTCCTGATTAGCGCCAGCTTCCCGATTAGCAGGGAAGCCATCTCCATGCTCCCTCGTGACCAGGTGACGAGGGAGCATGGAGCCGGCTTCCCGACCAATCAGGAAGCGAGTCATTACATGCTGCCCGGCTTCCTGATTGGCCAATTTACAAGCTTTACATGCAACAGTGGTAACAACATTTTCTGAGAGTCAACAAGAGCTGGATTTTGAACATTTTTCTTTCCTGGCTCCCAGGACTGTCGTGATGGCCAGTCTTTCTTGACATATTGAGAATCTCTGCATCGACCGTCCCATTCACATAGGAAACAGCAGTATTTCATGTATCCACCCTGCAGGCCAAGCAACAGGGCAATAACTTTCAAATCAACACAGAGCTGCCACTGATGTTCCTCATACTTTATACACCTCAGCAACTGTTTCATGTTTTCATATGTTCTTTCAAGTGGACTGCATGCCCGACAGGAACGGATGGCAAAACATTGCCATTGTGCAATAAAGCAGCTTTAGACTAGTTTTAGATGACCCTATGAACAATCTCCACTCATCTGTATTGTGGGTAATGTTAAAAGCTGTCATTAAGCCATCAATATCATTGGAATAAACCAAATCACTTTCCACTAAGAAATACTGAATCAGATCTTTTTGGCGATCACGGAAAATGGAGATCCTGACATCACTCTGCAAGAGGTTCCACTGTTGTAATCTGGAGCCCAGTAGCTCTGCCTTACTCTTAGGCAATTCCAAATCCGTGATCAGGGAATTTAGTTCACTCTGTGAAATTAGATGTGGTTCAGGAGGAGCATTTTTGTGGGCTAAAGTTTGGGTACGCTGATATCGACAGCCCAGATGAGCTGCATCCTGCTCATCATCTTTATCATTATCTGAGTCTAGAGAGTAGGATTCTGGTGGCTCTGGAATAGGCAAGTCCTCACCATGGGGTATAGGACGCAGTAAAGTTATTCCACAGTCCACTTCTTTTTTCTTGAGATCCCTTTTGCAATTGGGGGAACCATGCAAAAATAGCAGTCGCTACTATGATTGGGACTGTGAAAGGCTTGGACTTTTTGTTCTTGTTTAGCCAACGACGTAGATAAGTTGCACATGTAATGCAACTATAATGAGGGGCCCAACTCTTGTCCTGATCCCCTATTTTTGCATGCAAAATATAGGTGGTATGCTTTCTTTACCACTGCCATCATACTGCACTTTTGAGATACAAATGTAACCTTGCCACAAATATAGCAGAAGTTGTTTACACAGTTTTGAGGCATCATGGCTTCTGAGGGAAAATATCACGCAACTGTTCCTTGGAAATGCTAGGCAATGACACTTTCACAGGCCACCAGATGTAACTGTATGATGCGTAGATCTGACCAAGACAAATGTACCTTGCAATAAAATAAACAATACATTACAGTTAGGTAATAATCTTTAGTCTCAAAGTGAAGATAAATGTATATATTTCCATGTGGTACCATTTTCATTGTTCTACTGTACTTTGTCGAGAAGTTACAAGACATCATGATCATTAGATGCCTGCCTCCCTCCCTTGTTTGCAAATATACTCGCCTGTGTATAAATATTTATTGTGAAATATTTTGAAAACTTTAGCCAACCAGCACCTTTATCATCTGTTTTCTAATTCATCTAATCAAAATATGTAAGAATTAACACATTTTATTTCAGAGGTCGATAATTTACCAAAATTTGTAGACCAGTGTAATCTGTGCAATTCAATTAAAAACAAACTGATATCTTTTAGGGGGAAAAGAATTAACAAAAACAAAAAACTTACAATAACTTGGTTGCATAAATATGCACACCCTTAAACATACTTCTTTTTTTTATAAATTATTTTGTTTTTTAACCCCTTTAACACTGAGCTTGTTTTTAGTTTCTGTTAATAAATGACTGACACCCTTTAAAATTGTTGCTGTGCGATTCTTCCACGTCTGTAATATACTTTCTTACAAAGTGCACCCGCACATATTATATATTGAAATTAATGGTAAAAGCTGCGCTGTGTGAATGAGTCAGCAAAAGTGTCAGCTATAGTAGATACTGACCTTGGAGTAATGTGATACAATGTGTAAAAAGTGCAAAACAAAGAAGAAACGCATGTATATAACATGCACCTTAGTGTAAATGTAATTGCTACAAAATATCCATAATGAAAAATCAAATGCACTAAATATTAACTGTGAATCAATGTGATGCAATGTGCAAAGAATACCAACTAGAAAAATGCATGTGTGTAACTTGCACTACAGTGAAAATAATAAATGGTTAAAAAATGTCCATGATCCTGGATCTTCAATAGTCCATTAAGTAAATAGAAGATAAAACATTGGATGTAGAATAGACTTAGTCCCACCCATGCGATGACAAGAATGAGGGTATTGATGAACCCCTTGGGGAGAAGAAAAAAAAAACTGAAAAAACAGCAAAGGAATGATGTGAGTAGTATCCTTTTTTTAATAAAGTCTAGTATCCTTTTAAAACCATCTGCACTACGAGTCTCCACTTTTTATTTTATCTGATGCATGGGCCATTCGGATGAACTGTCTGCTTCCAATTCCTGAGACTGCAAGAGAGTCTGTACCTGAGAGGAGGTAATCACTGGGAGGTATTCGGCATCAGGTGCTTCCTCTACCTGGTTTGAATTAGAGGAACAGCGCATACAGACCCTGGTGGGTCTCTGCTAAAGGTGAGGTGCATTCCAGAAGATTTCTCTGTTGATGGTAACAGGAGACTAAGTCTATTCTACATCCAATGTTTGGACCCAATCTTTATGCGAGGAGTTATAAATGGCATCTAGAAGTCTTGCCAAGTGGGAAGCCACATAGTAGTACTCAATGTGTGGCAGACCCACGCCTCCGTCTCGCTTAGGACGGGTCAGAATATCATATCTGACACGCGGTCTCTTGCCCTTCCATATATAGTGTGTTAAACCCAACTTAAGGGAGCGAAAGAAGGATTTGGGCAAATCGATGGGGACGGTGCCAGTGTGTCCGTGACCTCTACTGGTAGAGAATTATGAAGACCAATAGCCACTCCTCTGGTTTTGCGATCGGGGTTATTGCTGGTATACCAAGCGCGATAATATTTAGTGGACATGCGTGGGGCCGCATCGGCTCTAAAACGTGTTTCCTGGAGAAAAAGAATTTGGGAGCGCTGTTTGTGGAGATGGTATAATAGTTGGGATCGTTTGGTTGGGCTGTTAAACCCCTGCACATTCAGGGAACAAAAGGTCAGCGACGCCATAGCATCAATAAGGGGAGGCACGGCCAAAGAGATGGGTATGGCAGCGTTCTCCCAGGCAGGCTCCAGGAAAGGGACGAAAAGAAGAAAGAGAGCAGGGGATGGGGAGATAAGGGCAAGAGAGCCAGGAGGGGGAAGAGAAGGCAGAGAAAGAGATCAGGCAGAAAGGAGAGAAAAAAAATTAAACAATAAAAGTGCTTTTCAACTAACATCAGGGAGAAATCCCTAAACGTGTGCACCGCGAGTCCCAAAATCCAGGGGTGGTCACGGTGAACAAATCCTATGGGGGAAGACAGAGTGGAGTGTCCCCGCCGACCCTCGTCGCGTCGGGGCACACCAAGTCAGTGTGGGTGAGGAAGGGGAACCGATTTACGTTAAACTAATCAGGATCTAACAAGCAGGATAGTCTATCCTAACATAGCAGGGTTCGGCAGTTGTAGTTATCAATAACCATTCAAACCATGTGTATGGTAAAACCAGTTGCAACATGCAACAGTGCGTTGACAAAAAAACAAAACACAAGGATATAAAGGGGTTAAAGGGGAAACCTGTGTCCTACGGAGAAGGAACTGTGGGTCATCACGGAGTCCATCGGGGGTGCCACCCGTTGAGCAGACCCGGAGGGGGTCGGGATGTGTGGAGGAATGATCCATGGCATTCACCAGTCCGATGGTAAGGACTTCAGGGATCATCCAGTAAAGCGGCTGAGTCCATCTTCAGAGGGTAAGTAGATCATCAAGGAGTGCAGTGGGTGACACCCGGCGTGTAGTCTCGTTGGAAGTCGAGGCACGTAGAGGGATGATCCAAATTAAAGGACGGCTCCCGCATAGGAACAGCAGGCCGCAGCCGGAAAGTCTGTGGACGGGAGGTAGAATAAAAGGGCAGACTATGATCCTGAGCATGGCTTTATCTGGTCGCATAGGAGATCCAGTGAAGGAGGGCAGTCACCTGTGGGGAATCAGGTAGGAGAGGAAGAAGGTGTGGGT